TTTTTTTTTTTTTTTTTTTTTTTTTTTTTTTTGGATTTGCTTAGTCAACTAAAATAGTTTTTCTTCGTTTTCTGCATTTGTACAAAGTAAATTTTTTGTATTTTCATCAAAAATTAATGTTGAATATTCAAACTTTTCCTTAAACTGCTGTTTGGAATATTATCTATAGCAGCCAGCAATAGACAATTTTGAATTTCCGTAAAAATTCTATTTTTTATTTTTTGGTTTTCAAGGTTAGTTAGTAAATTCCGGGCAACTGTTGACAACTGTGTGTAAGTTGTTTGATCATTAGTCAAGGAATTTTGTGTTAATATATCAAACAACAGGTCGATGACCGATAGTGGTTGGTTGGTCGGTTGGTTGATTGTTTTCCAATGTTTAAACACTGATTAAGTAGTTGCACTTGACTTGACTCAAGATCTGTGTCATCGGTAAATTACCAGTTAGAAATGGGCAGGAAAGAAAACCAGAATGATTTGGATGTTGTCAAATTTTGAACTCACTGATCCAACATCAGTTGAATGCAGTCAGGCGTTGAAACAACGATGACAGTTTCGTGTTACTGTTGTTGTTGTTGCTGCTGTTAGTTTTTTTTCTTCAAGTAGTGAAAGGTCAAAACTTTCAGCTGAATAAAGAATTTTTTTTGATTGAAAAATCATTTTTTTGCATTAAATTTTATTGCCTTAGATTGTCTTCTTAATCTGTTTTGTGGTGAAAAAAGATGAGAGACGGGTGAAAAAAGGTCACTATATCATCTTTCTTTTTTATTTTCCTGTTGATCATAGGCATCTTATGGATTTGAGCTCCAGGAACCGTACGTAACAGTTTTATCTGCTTCCACTCAGACAGCTTTAGTATGCTAATACTACGGCTTTAGTAGCTCAATGGGAAAGTAACACTTTGCTCGCAGCTTTTTTTCTTCCTCATTTATTGTTTTACTGTTTATGATGGGTATTATAAGATTTTCTTTTGTTAATAGAGCTTTTCGTTCGCAACACAAATGATTTATTGAAAAGAAAAAAGTTTTTTTTCTTTATGCTGAAAGAGCAGTGAATTATGTAGTTGAAGAGGAAAAAAAAGGCTGGAGTAAGACTAAAAAAAGTTCAACGAAAAGAAAAGAGCATTGGAAAGACAGTTTGTTTGCGTCAAAACTTGAATATTGGGCTGAAATGACCAAAGAATAAGAGCTATAGTCTAACTATCATCAATCGTTGGCAACCAGATGTTGCAACAAACTTTTTTTTCCACCTCTTGTGCTAGCCGATTTTGCT